CAGCTGCTGCTGCTGCCGCTGCTGCTGCGGCTGCGGCAGCCCCACCCCACAGGAAGCCGCTCCGCAGCAGCATCAGAGTCCACTTCTCTTATTGCAGTTATTGCTGCTGCTGCACAGCCTTGCAGTTGTTTTCAGATTATATTCATCCCCATCTTTCAGGGTTTAGGGTTTAGGGTTTAGGGTCTAGGGTTTAGGGTTTAGGGTTTAGGGTTTGTTAGGGTTTAGGGTTTAGGGTTTGTGTTGTGTTGCAGCAAATTTTAAGTGAAAATGACGACTCGCCTCAGGAAGACTCGCAAGCTCAGAGGCCACGTCTCTGCAGGTGCAGCAAGGGTTTAGGGTTTAGGGTTTAGGGTTTAGGGTTTAGGGTTTAGAGTTTTGTGTATACAATGATAATATATATATATACTGTGGTGTATGAATTGAGGTTTAAGGGTTTAGGGTTTAGGGTTTAGGGTTTAGGGGTATCAAAAGAAATCTCTCTCCCCCCCTTTACTTCTCCCCGCCCCCATTCCCCTCCCCCCCCAAACCCTCAGGGTTTACAATCTAGGGTTTAGGGTTTAGGGTTTAGGGTTTAGGGTTTTGCAGGCCATGGGCGAGTGGGTAAACACCGCAAACACCCAGGAGGAAGAGGAAAGGCTGGCGGCCTACACCACAACAGAATACACTTCGATAAGTTTCATCCTGGGTACTTCGGAAAGGTAAATATTTATTTATTTATTTATTTATTTTTATTTTATTTATTTTATTTATATTTGTTTTTATTTTATTTAGGGTTTAGGGTTTAGGGTTTAGGGTTTAGGGTTTATTTAATGTTTACACAACAGAATACACTTCGATAAGTTTCATCCTGGGTACTTTGGAAAGGTAAATATATTTATTTATTTTTATTTTATTTATTTTATTTATTTTATTTATTTTTATTTTTATTTTATTTAGGGTTTAGGGTTTAGGGTTTAGGGTTTAGGGTTTATTTAATGTTTACACAACAGAATACACTTCGATAAGTTTCATCCTGGGTACTTCGGAAAGGTAAATATATATATATATTTATTTATTTTTATTTTATTTATTTTATTTATTTTTATTTTTATTTTATTTAGGGTTTAGGGTTTAGGGTTTAGGGTTTAGGGTTTATTTAATGTTTACACAACAGAATACACTTCGATAAGTTTCATCCTGGGTACTT